AATGCCATCAAAAAAGGCATTTTATAATCCCAGGGCTTAAGTTGACAAACGTTCCTGCAGCCATTGATCTTCTAACATGAATCAAAAGTATGCAGCAGACAATGAGCTTGAATAAATAATTGCTTTCCTATTAAGAAAAGTTTCATGACTAGCCAGTGCAAAATGTGGTAACATCATGTCTGCTCTTGAAACCCTGGGGCCTGTTGCTCAGCTTGCTCACAGTATTTCCATGGTGCAAGGTGCTTTACAGAGAAAGTGCATTAATTGAAATGGATTTTTTTTTTTTTTGAGAAGTGGCAGAGTTTCTCAAAAGAAAATTGTTCATCAAGAGAAGGTAAGTTTAGAGTGAGTCTCCTGTTAACACAAAAATAGAAACTAGGTTACAGAAATCCACATCCTCAGCTATGACTATCAGTTTGATGAAAAGATCAGTCCGTATTTGGCCTATGAAAGTACACAGAACACACCAGACTATTATAATTTTAATATTTAGAATGGCACACTGAGGTGGGGGGCCGGTGATGGCAGCATGTGAGGGAGGGGCAGTATGGAAGAGGGAAGAGCAACAGACTGTGTCTGGATTCAAATAATGGTTCTGCTCCTTTCCTAAGAATGGGACCATAGTGATTCTGTTCCCCTTGGTCTCCTCATCCCTCTCTACTCCAGATGACTTCTAATGCCCCAGCTCTAAAATTCTATGATTCCAGTAACTTGTTAATGTTCATTTTTCAGGCTTCATTCAAATGATTCATCAGAATGCTAGAATAGAACTCAGATCATTTGATTTCCATAGTTTAGAATAAGATCTGTTTATTCAGCTGAACATAAATCCTTTTTTGGAACACAGAAAGACACAAATAAGGTAAACTGACATTTCCAGGTACGCTAGAAGCCATAACTACATTTTGATTATGAGGCAACAAAGTATTGTTTCAAATTGCAAAAGGTCAATACATTTGCTGCTGTTATGTTCCAGAAATCAAAAAGTAATTTTATGGTAGTCATATCAACTCATACTAATAGCTGTCTAACTATCCACCACCCCCCATCATAATCTAAAAATAACTTAAGTAGGCTAAAGTGAACATTTAGAATGAGAAAATAAAACTAAAGATGAGGATTTAAAATACATAGGAATGAGGTTCTAGTAAATCATCATAATGACGTATATTACAGTTGCTTGTGGTGAAACCCAAATTTAGTATTAAGCTTTTCGGCATCCAGTGTGAAAGACGAATTCTACCTGATCCATTACGCAACTCCTAGAGAACATAAAATGAAAGTAAGGTAACTGCTCAGCAAAAATGCAGTTGTGTGCAGTAAGAAACAAAAGTTCCCTGTCAGGGGTCTTCATAAAGAATGGTGCCAACAGTATCCTCAGTAGCTTTCCTTTATAGATCCAATGGTTCAATCCACAGGGTAGAATGCAATTTTCACTTTAAGACAATCGCATCACAACTAAGTAGACAGGCATAACAGCATGATGGTGACAAGAGACCCTGGTTCCATATTGCTGAGTTCAAATCCCAGCTCTGCCGCTTACTGGTCATGTTGCCTTGGGCATGCTATTCAAACCTGCCTCATGTGCCTTAGTTCTAATGGTGAGGTGCGGATAAGAACAGCATTTATGGAGATTGAGTTAGTAAGTATAGCATTACCACTTATTAATGAAAAGTTCAGTAAAAGCATTTGGGCTGGGCACTACCATTAGCACAGTTCAAGTACCCAGCTCTCCACTGACCTAACTTGAACTCAAGGCAGTTTCTACAACAGTGTGGTCCCAGAAAACTTTCTGTAAAAATGGGATCTTCTTTACCTGTGCTGCCCAAAAGTACTAGAAATGTGGCTAATATAATGAAGAAAGGAATTTCTAATGTAATTTAAACAGCCACAGGTGGCAAGCGGCTACTGCATTGGACAGCATATAGAAAATTTTCAACGTTGCCAAGTTTGATTGGACAGCGTTGCTCTAAAACATCCTCCAAGCAATACTCTCTAAATACTGTTATCAGCTAAGCTTTTAAGGAGTGTTAGGTAATGAGGAACTCCAGATTGTAGTCCTTGACATCTAAGGAGTGTGGCCAAATCTCTGTCCCCAGGTGAATGCAGACACCTATGCCTCTGGCTGTGGAGCAGTCTGGTTGTGCTGTGAAAAGTCAAGATTGGGCAACAGAACAGAATGCCAGCCTATGTGTGCTTTGAGGGGAGCCAAAGCCAAGATCCCCCCCTAGAAAAGAGTTTTGAATCTACTTGGAGCACAAAGGAATGAACCTCATCCCAAAGTTCTACTTTAGCACAGCTGGAATTGCTTCGTCCTGAACAATTTTAAAGGTGGTTTAATCAGATACTGGCCTCATTTTCCCAAAATGTTCTATTAACTTTGGGAAAAGCTACTTCCTGGTGTTCACTCCAAGATATACTATTTGGAAAAGTTACATCAAGATGACTAAATAAGGCTGAACGCAGTGGCTCACGTCTGTAATCCCAGCACTTTGGGAGGCTGAGGCAGGCAGATCACTTGAGGTCAGAAGTTCAAGACCAGCCTGGCCAACATGACGAAACCCCATCTCTACTAAAAATGCAAAAAGTAGCCAGGCGTGGTGATGCACACCTGCAATCCCAGCTACTAGGCAGGCTGAGGCAGGAGAATAGCTTGAACCCAGAAGGCGGAGGTTGTAGTGAGCCTAGGTCATACCACTGCACTCCAGCCTGGGTGAAAGAGTGAGACTCTGTCTTAAAAAAGATTAAATAAGTTAAGCTATACGATGGGTCTCAGATAAGTAGGAGTTAACAATTGTCAAAATCAATAAATGATTTCACATAAATTATGTAACAGAAACACAAAATAAAGGGAAAGAAATTTATAATAAAATGTATATTTCAATACGTAAATGCTCAGGCCCAACTACATTAGAAGAAACAACAAAGTCATTAATATCTGTAATAGAATTATGTTGATGACTTAATTATAAGTAGCACTGCTATCAATAACAAGATTTTTGAAAAGCGGTGCAATTCTTGATAAAGTTTTGAACAAAATGAAGTCGAATCTTCCCTTAATTATCTTGTGGCTGTATTCTTGGAAAATTCATGATACATTAACACTATGCCAAATAATATCTTGTTTTAAAATGTGAAATGGCTGGGTTTTAGGTTCAGATATCTAAAATTGTTTGTTTTCTAAACACGTGAATGTCCAGCAGAACATTCAAGAATCACGTGGGATGTAGAACAATCCTCTGTTAGGCTGAACTGTCCCATGTACTGTGGGATGTAAAACAACTATGGTCCCTGCCCACTGACTGCCAGGAGTGGCCCCAATCACTTCTAAAACCATTAGTCCAAGCCTAACATATGAATTCTACCAACCCCACCCCTGCCAATGACTGGTTCATCAATCTAGGCCTAAGTCAACCTCTGGAGGGTATTGGTTGGTGTGAGAATGGGGTATGTGATATAATGTCAGCCAATGAAACAGCTTAAATTTGCATCAAAGTCCCCTAAGAGGGAGTCACAGCAAAGACGGTCTCTTCTCTACGTGGTTATAAATGGATGTGATGTCTAAAAATTCTGTACTCATCACAGAACCAGTCGGAGGAAGCAGTCAACAAAGAGGGCAAGGCAAGAGCACAAGGGAACTGGGCTAAAGATTCTGGATGATGTCACCCTTGGGGTCTACCCTACCTTTTTATGTAAATGGGCTTTATGTGACTGGACTTCCAGTTACATAAACAAATACATTTCCTATGGGGTAAGCTGTTTTGAATTTGGATTTTGGTTCTTGCAGCTGAAAGCACTTTGATACATGCATAAACAATTTCACAAGTCAAAGACTGAGGCCTGGTTTTGAAATAAAAACATTGAAACCAAAACAGCAGCAGTGGCAGGTGAACATTGTTCCTGGGCTTCTATACCAAGCGGTAAACTTGTGGCAGGTGCCGCTGATCAGAAGCCTGTATGCTCCACAGGTGTAGGGTCTCCACACTGCCAGCCTGTATAGTTAGTTCATCAAGCTACAGACGCGCTGTGGAAGGAGGACCAAACACAGCTCACACCTGCAGCTTGTTGCGGGGGATGCATAAAAGGCAAAGAGCTACTAAACCTGAAAAGAAAAAATATAGCTACAGGTATTGAAGTAATGTTATTGGTATTTGTGTACAAAGACTCTACAGGATGCTCTGTGGACAGATGAGGTTATAAAAATAGACCAAGTTCCTGCTCTCATGAGGCTTACAATTAAACAAGTTAGAAAGAAAATCACGTTTACAGAGAAACAGATGAAGGAATGCAAAATACAAGTAAAAACCTGGGTGTGGTAAGTGGTGGGGAACGGAGGGGTTGGGAAGGAGGCAGTCAGGTACGGTTAACTATGGAAGACTTTCTGACAAGCCAGGGTTGGAGTTTGAGTATTAAAGGTTCTATCGTTGGGAAGATGTGTAAAAAAGGAAAAAAAGTAAGTATATAGGACCACGAGTGGAAAATTTAGTAATGTCCTGCTGAAATGGTATCAGGAGAGGTTCTGAATAAACATGGTTCCATTTCCAGATTCATGAAAGACAGTGGGACAGGAGGAAAGAGCAAGCATAATTGGGGCTGGAGCCTTAATCTGGAATCCCTCTTCTACCAAGACCTACCTGTTTGACCTTGGACAAGTTACTTAGCCTTCCTTGTGTCCATTTTCTCATCTTATAAACTGGGGACATGTAGTGCTCAAGGGAGCGTAGGGTAAAATGAGGTGAGGCATGCTAAAAACTTGCATAATTGGGAGGGGCTTAATTGTGGTAGTTATTATCATCACCCTTAAATCTACAAGCAATTCACTCAAACTAGTTTGAGTATTTATAAGGCAAACATAAATGAAACTCAATATACCTATTACATTAGGTTTGAAAAAAAGCTGTGTTTTAAAAAGCAGCTAATTGCAATCCATTACAAAAATCCCCAAATTACAAGAAAAACTATAATACACTTAAAAAAAAAACCAAAAAGACAAATCATGATTAAGGGATATATAAATACATTTATTGGTAGTATTCCTGAATGATGAATGCAGAGAACAGAATACAAAGAAATCAGCACATACAAGGAACCATTAATCTTTAAAAATGCTATATACTTACATTTTGACCAATTTTGCATATTTGTTTAGATTTACAAACAAATGTAAAGCAAAGTTTTCTTCTGAATATACTTCAAATTTGAATTGTAGTGTTCTCCATTCTAAAGCCAGCTGTTTTTTGCTGTATTTACACCAACTATGATTTACTTTGTTTGTATCTAACCTAAAAGCAAGACTCTGCAAGCTGATCCTGAAGCAGCCAGTTACTCAGGAATTTTACAACAGCTATTAGAGAGAGGATAAAGCCACATGAAAGAGCGAGCCTCAATACTAGATATACAGATACAAGAGAAAACACCAAGAAGCAAAAAGAATCACAGAAATACCAATTCTATTCTAAAGCATAATTTCTAATTCTAGCAGCAATTCAATTAGCAATAGCTTAGGTGCCTGTATTCCAAAAAACAAAACCATTAGTTCTTTCACTACAATTTCCTGACTTTACCCAATGAATAATTATCAAGCCTTCATATTCTTTTTTAATAACTCAAGAACATAATTCATACATTACAGGATCATTAACAAAAGAGGCCTTCAAACATACTGCTGAAAGCTGCAATATAGTTTGAGGGCCAGATTTCAATTTACATAATATTACCATTCATAAAGAGTTTATGACACCCAGTACAATACTGTTCAGCACTGTTAACTCAGAAATGCTCCATCCATTCTTGCCATCAGAGAATTACAGATATGGATGGGATTGTTAAAAGTCTAACAGGGCCTCTAAATAGAACTGCACATGAAATAATTATGAACTATGATAAAACTGTGACAACACAGCTAGCTTATAGAACTGAGTTTTTCACTATAATAGCACTACAGATTTATGACAGTTAAATATCAGAATTATTTTTCCCTGCTAACTCTTCAATAGAAAAAGGATTTTCTGACTAATTCTGATGAACGGTTATCTCTGATGAATAGGGTACTAGGGAAAATCGGAAAGTGAACAAAATGAACTCGTTTATTTTTCACAGATATTAACGAGCAAAGCAGTTTACAAAAAAATAAAAAATTAACCTAAAAACAAATAAATATAAGATCAAATCAATCACCTTTGAACAAAATATAGCTCATTTTCAAAAGTTTTGTTTGGTTTGTGACTAGACTTAAAAATACTAAAATAAGCCGAATAGATTCTAACAATACTAATTTGCTACACAAGATTTGAAAAAAGTACTTCAAGTTTTAAATTATCTCTTGTCCCTAGAGACAGTAAATAAAAAGTGGCTCTTGCAAAAATAAATGAAAACAAAACCACCAACAAAAACTAATCATATAAGACATTGTTTTTCTTTTTGAATACTTCAATTGGTCCTATATTAGGATAAGGTTTTGATAGCAAGGACTTCCTAGCCTCTTCCTTTATCTTCCATTCTCTAGTCATTTCTGTGTTTTTACCAAACAAGGCTATGTGTAGGTTTTCCTACAAAGTCAGGTTGAGTCAGAGGTAGCGTTAGGATGCAATATACTTGATCATAATATGTAGTTAGTTCAAATGAACACATCGTTATCTAAGAGGATTACAATAATTAAAAATGCAAAAAGAAACATGTACCGCCCTCACTGCTTTGCACTAAGAAAAATTCTGAGAAACTGAGAACAAACATTGGAAGCCAGGAAATAGGCAATTCATTGCCTCATCTTCCATGAGCTCCTTTAATGCACCAGTTCAGGCTGGTTTTCCACAAAGGGCAGCACCCCGCTCACATAATAGGCAATGCCAAGAGACAGCAAAGCAATGACGAAGATCAAAAGCAACACTCTCCAGAAGCCCAGATCCTCCACAAACTCCTGCCACGTGGTTCGGAAGCTGGAAAGGACCCCTTCACCTTGCTGCAGGTTGGGATTGAGGAGTGAATGGCTTTCCATAGCACTGTGGAAGAAGAGAGAGCAAAAAGGGCATTAAAAAACACAGAAATTCCAAAAACATAAAACTATAGGACTATTATTTAGAAAAGACCAAATACACACACACACATACATATACACACTCTTACATGCTTATGTATCTGAACAATATATCCTAAACTGTAAATTGCTAAATGGTAATGAGTATGTTCCTCTTGGTTTAGAATTTAGTAAAGTCAAGTTAAAAATTCTATTAAAAAGGTCCTGGTTGGGTGTGGCGGCTCATGCCTGTAATCCTGGCACTTTTGGAGGCCAAGGAGGGAGGATCACTTGAGCCCAGGAGTTCGGGACCAGCCTGGGTAACATGGCGAGACCCCATCTCTATTTTTTTTTAAGGTGTCCTGAGCAGAAGTCTTGAAATAGGTTAAATGAGTTGTTTCTATCAAGATATTAAACCACAACACATTATTGTTATGTTAAATTTAGAAGACTCAAAGGGTAGACTCATAATTTAAGAATGTATTAATATGAATAATCAGACACGCAGGTGATGACACCTGAAGAGGACAGTCATCTACAAGCCAAGCAGGGAGGCCTTAGAAGAAACCAACTTTGTGACACCTTGATCTCAGACTTCTAGGCCCTAGAACTGAGAAAACAAACGTCTGTTTGAGGGGGCAGTGGTGGGAAAGATGAGTAAATCTAAAAAGTCACTTATATAGTGTGTGTGAATCTTAAAGTTAAAAGGGAATTTTTATTAATTTAGTTCAATAATCTGACCAATGAAGGAATTCCTTCTTTAAGTGTAATTCTCTAATAATGGAAGCTTACTTCTCAGCCTGTTGTCCATGTGGACTCGTCTAGTTATCAGAATTTTTTTTTTTTTTTTTTTTTTTTTTGGAGACAGAATCTCACTCTGCTGCCCAGGCTGGAATGCAGTGATGTGATCTCGGCTCACTGCAACCTCCACCTCCCAGGCTCAAGCAATCCTCCTGCCTCAGCCCCCCAAGTAGCTGGGACTTACAGGTGCACACCACCATGGCTGGCTAATTTTTGTATTTTCAGTAGAGACAGGGTTTCGTCATGTTGCCCAGGTTGGTCTTGAACTCCTGAGCTTAGTTGATCCACCTGCCTTGACCTCCCAAAGTGCTAGGATTACAGGAATGAGCCACCACAGCTGGCCTAGTCATTAGGAATTCTTAATAGTTTCTTCCTACTGGTTTTAGTTCTATCTTGTACAATAAGACAGAATATGTTCATTTCTCTTCTGCGTAAAGGCTAGTCTAATTGAAAATAAGGTAGTGCAAATACCATAAAAACACTGATTCTGGTTTTCAGAACTTTATCAATGAGAAATATGACTACCACAAAGAGAAACTGCATCTGACTTTGGTACTTGGAAGCACTAAGGGAAGAGCACCCATGGTTATGTCACAACATACAGGCCCAATAAGAGGGTATCATTTAGATTAAAGCCACAATGACCATGATCATAGGAACCAACTATCTACTGGTTATCAAAGTTCATTACTATCCTTCCTAACTCCCATAAAACAATCTCTTAGAGTCTCATTCACTATGAACTATGAGTAAACATGCAAAACTGGCATTTTTTTAACCTACAACTTTATTTTACTTCTTGATACCATCAAACAAAAGTCCTTCAGCCTTTACCAGCATTAGAGGTCTTCTCTGATCATGGGAAACTGACTTCCTAATGGGCCAGTCTACTTAACACCCCAATTTTTTTTAAAATAATTAAAACATGTTTATTCTCTGAATAAGAGATGATGTTTTCAGTGGGAATCTACAGCAATACAGTAATTTCGGACAACTTGAGAGTAAGTTTAAAAATAAGATTAGAATTTTGAGAAGGCCTAAAAGAGTAAAACCACAAATGGATAACAAAGTTCTGGAGAGGCTTAGTTTGGCCTATGTAAAATTTACTGATTATGAGTTGACATGCCCTTATACTCAAACATGTTAGGTATAAAATGAAAATTCAATGAGCATTCTCTCATTGCTCTTCAGAGCTCATGAAGTGCTGCCAATCAGGATTTTCTATAAAGACTTTATCCAATGAAATGCTTTCTACTGTCCAGGGAATATCTGATTCTAACATAATGGGGGGTGTGTGTAATCCTTTTTTAAAAACGTGGTATCTACACTGTCTTTGGGGGTTGTGTTTGTGTGTACCTTTTTAAAAAAATGTGACAGCTAAACTGTTTTTGTTATCCCATACCTACAAAGTAAAAAGGAATTAAACTTGAGTTTATATGGAGGAGTGGGGAAATATTTTTCATTAACTTGATTTATAGTCCCTTATAAGGCCTATAGAAGTTGTGCTGTCTCGGGGGACTCCTAAGAGAAATGAAAAATATTATAGTAAACACATTTAAAACCCTGCTTTATCTTCTGCTCTAGAAAAAGCTGTTACACAATTATGCCATAATGCCATGTGCTAGCCAATCTCTTTAAACCTTTTCCTCTACTTTTTATTGAGATATAATTCACATCCCATAATATTTACCTTTTGAAACTGTACAATTCAGTGGCTTTTCATATATTCCCAAAATTATACAACCATCTCTTCTAATTCCAGCACACTTTTAGCACCTCTATCAGAAACTCTGTACTACTAGCAGTCACTCCTCCATTGCTGCTTCGCCCAGCTCCTAGTCTACTTTCTGTCTCTATGGATTTGCTTATTCTGGATATTTCACATAAACAGAATCATATAATATGTGGCCTTTTGTGCCTGGCTTCTCCCATGTAGCATGTTTTCAAAATGTATCCATGCTGTAGCATGTATCAGTACAAAATAATCATATTAATAATATTCTACTGGATGAGCAGATGATGTTTATTCCTTCGTCAGCTGATGGATGTTTGGGTGGTGTCCACGTTTTGGCTATTATGAATAATGATGCTATGAACATTCATATATAAGCTTTTGTGTGGACATATGTTTCAGTTTTCTTTGGTATATTCCTAGAAGTGGCACTGCTGGTCAGACGGTAACTCTATGTGTAGCTTTTTGAAGGACTGCCAGACTTTTCCAAAGAAGCTGCTCTACTTTCCATTCCCATCAGCAGTGTATGAGGGTTCCAATTTCTCCACATCCTCCAGAGCACTTGTTATTATCTTTTTAATTGCAGCTATCCTAGTGGGTGTGAAGTGGCATTTCACTGTAGTCCTCATCTGCATTTTCCTAACGACATTACCTTTCACCTTTCTGATTTAAACTTCAACCACTGAATTTCTACCATGAAACTGAGGGGTAGGAGTAAGATAGGAAAACTAGGCAATAAAAGTGTTAATAACTCAATTTTTGAGAAACGAGCTTTACACAGTGTTACAATTAATACAAACTCTCATGCTGCAGTGAAATGACAGGTATGTGAAGGAAGCAGGAGTACTTCAACTGCTCATCCAATGGAATATTATTTTGTACTAATCACTTCTTAGTAAGTAATCACAACTGAGGCAAACTAAGGCCAAAAGTATATTTCTGCTAAAGAGGTGCCAAGAAACTGGCTATTAACAAAATAAAGGCCCTAAAAATATACCAAACAAAAACACATTCTTGGCTGTTTTTCATGGTAAAGAAGCTTAAAGTACTTAATGTTATTTTATAAAAAGATAAAAATAAATTTCAAGTTATTTTGGAGGAACAAATCTGTAACAAATAATAGTTAACTCAATGTTGTTAAAGTGCTTATGCCATTCTGTCAATCCAAAGTACACAGGAGAGAAAAAAAAAGGGCTTGTAAATACATCTTTGACTTCTTGTTTATCTGTCAGCTTTCAGTGATCACTCATGAGGAGTATGCACTGTTCCAGAAGTAAAGCTCCTGGATTTCCTCAGGACTGTACTAAGTGCTTGAAAGTATCTAAACAAAACAGACCTAAGCTTCAGAGCGGAATTAATGGTCCCCAAAGAGCACATCAACTGGCACAGAGAGGAGGAAAGCAAAAATGGGTACAAAGGAATCAAATGAACGGTGAGCTATGAAAAACAGAGAGGATTTCATCTAGAACTCACAGAAACAAGGATCCCAATGGTCTAAGTGGACTATGTGATTCTAAATCCAAGTCCTAGTCCATCAGCTACTAGGTAAACAGCTGATGTGGGCCCTTGTTTATTCTACTTACTACCTACCGAGAATGTTGGGAAGAGACTGTGGAAGCTCAGCATCCTTTTTCCTTCACGTGTATAAACTGCATGGTGGTCAACCAGACTATATGCTACTGGAACTAAGTCTGGCCTATTAACTTTACGTATTGAGCCCAGTGATGTCAGGAGAAAAGATGGTTTGCCACCTTTTTGGAGCTTCCTGAACTGTGTTCTCCATTGCTTCTAGATGAGACATGATGAGCTATTCAAGACCCGGTCAGTCACCACATCTTAGCTTCAATTACTTACAGGAGTCCAAATTTCATTAGCTCCAACTCATATGATCATCACTTTCACTTTCACATTACTGAACTGTGCATGTGTTAAATACTATCGTGCTTTCCCTCTCCTGTTTTCTTGTTTCTCAGCAGTCCACTTCCCTATCCTTGAAACTACCTTTTGGTCTTTTCTAAAATTGCCCAAGTTCTTGGCTTTATTTATACTTCTCTTTTTTTTTGAAATTCCATTCTTTTTGTGACCTGTACTTAAACCAAAGCTCCAGTTTCCTTCCCTTAGATTCAGTTGTTACTATTTCTTCTTTGTACTGTCAATACAGCAGGTGGCTAACAGAACATTATGTGCACATGACATGTAGTACTTTCTGTTAATAGCTTCTCAATTGTAATCTGCAGCCATAAGGTCCTATATAAAGTTCAAGTTGCACTTAAAAGCAAATGAATATTAAAGTTCACAAAGTTACCACAAATCCAAGTACTTAAAGTGACTTTCCCCTTTAAAAATCATATTATCTTGCTGGGCGTGGCTGCATGTGCCTATAGTCCCAGCTAGTCAGGAGGCTGGTGTCAAGTCCAGCATGAATAATACAGTGAGAGAAAAAAAAATTTCCAGTACCTTTCACTCTCAGCTGTCTGCATGGTCTCCAGTTTCGAGTGGGTTCCTCTGTTAAATCCTTTTACCTCCTGTTCTTCCAAAGATTCCAGCAATCGGATGACATCTTTATTTACTCCTCTGCGCTTTGCCAGAACTAAAGGGGTAGCACCTTGATGATTGCTAAAAAAAGTTCATAAACATAAAGAAGCCATCATAGCAGTTACACGACATTGTCAGTTCCATTTTCAGTACCCATTTGTATAGATCTCAGTGAAGAAAGAATGGGCCCAATTAGGACCTACCCTAGGGCCGTGGGGAACCAAAGGAGTATTTGGCTCACTGCAACTTTTCCACCATAAGCCTTGACCAGCAGGCTGCAATCAGACCTTGCCTGATGGGATTTCTGCACAGTTCATCACAGAGGCCATTATCCTCTTACCCAAACACGTCCCCCACCTCCAGCCCCATCCTCACACTGAATGTCTCCTGAACAGCAGATTGTGGTGGACGTTATAGCCGTGTGCCTCCATTTTTTTTCTGAATTGTACTACAGAAAGTGTTTATGAAGAATAAACAAATCACCGGGGTGGGGTGGGGGGGAAGATGGGTCCAATTAACTCAAAAGTAAAACCCAGAGCTGAGCCAAACATCCAGTGGAGCTGAATTTTGAATTAACCCTTGTTTTTCTTTCTTTTTTTTTTTTTTTTTTACTTCCAGGGAAAAGGAAAAAGAGAACATATAGTCAAAAAAAAAGTGGATAAATCTAGTTCTAAACTCATTCTTATTTGATATTTACATTTTATGAGACGAGTACTTTTTTTTTAACGTCTAAGAAAAAAATGTCAAATAAGCTGCCGTGGTTCACGCAGCTATTTAACACTAATAATAGGAGAGAACCACATTAAATCCTGCAGTCAATTCCTACCCCATTGTGTCCTGCAGAAACAGAAGCATTTACTGTCTTATTCAGATTTAGGGGCGTTATGGCATCAATAAATTAGGGCAGTGTGTAACTGTAATTTAAAGGTCAAGCTCAGTTTTACAGGTGACTTGACATCGTTCCCACTGAAAAAGCAGAGTATCACTAAAACAAACAAAAAGCCCCATGACTTCCTCAAATTGTTCCGTATAAAAAGGATCTTGGACTCCAGGGAGATTATGAAGCTCACATGGTGCATTACATGACAGAAGGCACACAAGCGTTAGAGTCAGCGGAACTAGGTTCAAATTCCAGCTCTGTCCCTTATAAACTGTGACCTTTTCAAATCCTCTATAAACTGTGTGAACTTTGTCCAATCCTTTTTTGTCTTAACTATCAAATCTGTAAAATGAAGAAAACACCTATCGTGAGAGCTCTTCATTCTGAGGACTAAATGAGCTAACAAGTAAACAGGGTCCATCCAGCTCATAGATTTTCAACAAATGTTCTTTTCTTCTTCTTCCCTTGTAACACTACACAATTAACTAGTAGCAGAAACTACCCACTATTTTCATAGAAAAAAATATGCTGCTTCAGCAAAAACCTAGAGGTCAGCCCCTCATTCCCTTACTTGCCTAACAGGATTACACTGTCTTCAATGCCTTTCTGAACTTATTTCAACTGATTAATGAGAAAACAAAATCCAAAGACCCGAGATAAGACTATCACCTGAGACACTAATGGGAAGAAATGACTAGACTTCTAAAACCATAGAGAACTTACCAAATATCAATTTTGAGTCCATTGGAAACCAAAAACTGGATAGTATCCACATGGCCACAGAGGTGAAGAGCCGTGTTTCCTTGATAATCTGTGGCCAGAAGATCAGCACCGAATTTATGCAGTAACTGGCAGATGTCTACATTCCCTCGAGCTGCTGCAAGGTGAAGGCCTGTTCTGCCCCTGCTGTCACGAATATTTGGGTCAAAGCCACTTTCCAAAAGCCGCTTGGAATAATTAAAGTCCCCATCAATACAGGCTTGTAGCAAGGGCACATTAGTCTGAGAAGAATCATTTACAAAAACATACGACATGGTGGATGGAACACTCCTGTAATGAAATAGGTGAGTGAGATGCCATGAAGACAAATGAAATCAAGGCAAAGGAGTCATTTAGAAAAGCACTATTTCTCATCCTTTTTGGCCTCCTCCCTCTAATAAATAAATTACTTTACCAAACAGAAACAACAACAAAGTTATCAATTATATTTTATTTTCCATTAACACATTTTCTTCATATCTGCTGGATTAAAATTTTAATTACTGTAAAGCTCTATTTTGCTTTTCATCATGTAAAAAGATTAAGAGATATTTTTAAAGTTAAGCAAGATATAATAGCTTAGATTTCAGTATTATGTTGTCAGAACACAAAGGTAACATGATGTTTAAACATCAAACAACTACCCATATATAAATGCTACTGCTGGTAGACATTTAAATAAACTGATTCTCTTTGATATATTTGCTTCTTCTTGTATTTGAGATATTCTACATGGTAACTAAAACTACTTGCATGAAAAGAAGTTATACTCAACAAAGACCTGTAGAATGTTATGTTTATAGCACAATTTTTTTTTTTTTTTTGAGACGGTATCTCACTCTGTTGCCCAGGCTGGAGTGCAGTGGCGTGGTCTCAGTTCACTACAACCTCCATCTCCTGGGTTCAAGCGATTCTCCCACCTCAGCCTCCCAAGTAGCTGGAATTACAGGCGCTTGCCACCATGCCTGGCTAATTTTTTGTATTTTTAGTAGAGATAGGGTTTCACCATGTTGGCCAGGCTGGTCTTGAACTCCTAACCTCACGACCTGCCCGCCTCAGCCTAGAAAAAGTGCTGGGACTACAGGCGTGAGCCACCGTGCCTGGCCTATGGCACAAATTTTAAGAGAAAGGCTAAGGAAAGTAACAAACTGAATTTAAAAATCAGAGCATGAAATCAATTCAGATTATGCTTCTTTTTACAGTATTGATCTTATTCTGCTGTGCTCTGTGGTTATCTCAATATGTGACTGTGCCAAATTCCCACTGTCCAAAGACTGAGAGGTGAGGAAAAAACAAGTAGGGCTGTCTGGGAATACCAAGTCAGGACAAAGCAGCAATCTCAACCAGGTCTGATGTGAATTTCATCTCTGGGACTCATCCAGCTCACCAGTTTGCCCACATCTCTTTCACGGATGTTTCCCGGCCCCACTGGTGCACCTGAACTCTGGGGAGAGTTCAGCACCTGCCTGGTGCACCTGAACTCTCAGGACATTCTGCTCTACCAAAGTGCATACAACTAGGTCTCTCTCTCTTCCCCTAGGTTCATTTAAGAAAGAGTTAAAGCCTGTCAAAAGAAACTTCGCTACAAAATTGACAAGAAAACAGAAAGGCAGACACCAATGCTTTTCTAGAGATGGCTTTTTAGTTCTTAGGTTACAAAAGCTTAGTCACAGATGGACTTGGCTTATACAGCTGATCAGGTAAAGTCTCTTTCTGAAACACTGATGGAACTGGATGCTAGACCCATTTATTCTTGTGCCTAACCTCAAGGGGATTCAGGCAAGCCTGGTTGCTGAGTTTGGTGAGACCGCTGCCCCTATTCCTTTCAACTTGGCTTCTCAGCAGAGTCATTGTCCCAAAATCTGGGGCTGCCTTACACAAGGGCTCTGCTGCTACCATGGGCTCTCTGTGGGAAGAGTGGGCATTAACATATATTGAGACTCGTTCTGAGCCAGGAGCCAACTAGGAGGTTTTAATGAATTTAATTTAATCTTCCTAACAACTCCACAGTAAGGTTTTTTAAATACCTGAATTTCAGTGAGGAGCCACTGAAGGATTTTTTGTTTTAAACTGAGACAGGTTCTCGCTCTGCCACCCAGGCTGGAGTGCGGTGGTACAATCATGGCTCACTGCAGCCTCAAACTCCTCGGTTCAAGCAATCCTCCCACATCAGCCTCCTAAATAGCTGGGACTACTATTTCAATGAGTCCAGCCCATTGAAGGATTTTAAGTCAAAGAAATGGCACGGTCTTATTAGTCTTTCAGAAAGATTACTTGGATGGCAATATGGAGGGTTTGGATTGTAGGGAAAAAGACTAGAGGCAGGGAGATCAATCATTAGGTCACTGCAGCTATCTAGGCAAGAAATGAAAACCTGACGTAAGGCAGTGGCAGGCAGAAGGGGACACACTGGAGAGGACTAGAGAAGACAGAATTAGCACAACTTAATGACTCACTGGATATGAAATGAAGAGTGAAAAGGGGCTTTAAGAATAATTTCAAATAAGAAAAAAACATATGTTTATGATTAAAAAATACAGAGATTAAAATAAACTTCAGATTATGATACATATGATGACTTTTTTAAAAATCCGGCTGGGCACAGTGGCTCACACCTGTAATCCCAGCACTTTGGAAGGCCAAGACAGGAGGATAGCTTGAAGCCCAGGAGTTCGAAACTAGCCTGGGTAACATAGCGAGAGACCCTGTCTCTATAAAATATTTAAAAATTAGCCAGGCATGGTGGCGCACACCTTTCGTCCCACCTGTTGGTGAGAGGATCACTTGAGCCTGGGAGATTGAGGTTACGATGAGCTGAGATTGAGCCACGTCACTCCAACCTGGGCATCAGAGTGAGACCCTGTCTCAAAAAAACAAACCAAACCAAACCAAACCAACACACAGAAAAACTCAATGAGAAGAATTTACTCAATAAAATAGTCAGGAATTCTTTTGTGAGGGTAATCTAAATATTTTCCCTTACAGCAAGGGTGTCCAACATTTTGGCTTCCCTGGGTCACACTGGAAGAAAAATTGTCTTGGGCTACACATAAAATACATAATGATAGCTGATAAGCTTTGAAAAATTGCAAAAAAAAAAAAAAAAAAAAAAAATCTCAGAATGTTTTTTAAAAGTTTATGAATTTGTGTTGGGCTGCATTCAAAGCTGTTCTGGCCTGCAGGTTGGACGAGCTTGCATAGTATTGAATCATAAAAATGGAAAAGCCATCATAAACCTTTTTAAAAATGAAATGCCACATATAAAGTACTTTTCAAAAGGTAATGTGTTTTGGTTAAATTTTTAAGAATAATTTTTAAAATCTACTTGGCATTTTTGATTCAAACACAGTAAGAATTCTTGTGGTTTGCAGACTAGGATTCTTCTGAATGTTGGCTCAGCAAGAAATACAAGTCTCTGTGTCTATTTTTCAGGTGAGAATAAGTGTGTATTTTGTCAGTTTCTCTGTGTCCCTGAGCAACTGCTAAACTTAATCCCACATTTAATAAGCCCAATGATAGATATTTTTCATCTTGATCACAGAACTGAATCTGCCCTAAAGCAGTTCACTGAAGGTTTCACATCTTGTGAGGAAGTCCACAGTAGTAAATACTCACGTAAGTCTAAAGATTAGATCTTTCGTTCAGTGGTCACTCAGCAGTTTCTCTGAACTCTCAAGAAGGTTCAACAAAAATATTCTGTAATGTGCTGGCAAGGATCTACAGTAAATAGAAAATTCAGTTATAACAGAAGTGTGGTGAGAAAAAGAACTCACTGTTCTATTAAATACAGACAGGTTACTGAGCCTGTAGAAATTCTCTAGAAAATCTGTAGGTGAGGCATCAACTTGTGAAGCCTGAAAAATACATGATGAGTAACAAAGTAGTGAAAAGGTAGCAAAGGCCACAGACTTAATAGAAGCTGCTCTGTGGCCCACAAACAAGAAAGCAAGACAGAAAGATAAAAGAATAAGAACCAAATTATGTGCCATCAGTAAAGAACAAACTGGGCTCCAAAAATTCTCTCTCAGTCATTACTTGGAATTCAGAATGCATATTTTTCACATTATAAATGGAGGCTACATCCCAGATTAGTTCACAAAAGCATTTTTATAAATAAAATAGTATTCATAATGGGAAAAAAATGAAAGTTAAAAAAGCCAATACTTATATTTAAACCAAACAGGATACATTTAAGAAAAAATATTTCTAATCTACCTTGAATGCTGATACTTAAATCTCTTTAAATCTGTTCCCTTCCCTGTCTTTTCAGTGTGAAAGAAAACCTGGCCCAAATCTATCTGTAATCTTTACATAGCCTGACCCTGCTCCCCCTTAACTGTGGTGCTGGCCCGCCCAGGCTACACCCCTCTGCACTGAGAGAGACTACAAGGGCACCCTGTCTACCTGCTCAACTCTTCTCTGGAGGGACCGTGGAAGCAGGGCCATGGGCAGGCAGTAAGGACCACAAAAATAGCAATATTAGTTCATGAAACAACATTCACTGTATGCCTGAAACGTGCTAGATCAAAGTCCAAATCCCAAATTCCTGGTCAGGGTGAAATACAGGTTAACTTTTTACTGGTCATCCATGCTCATCGTTATCGAATCCCTGTGAACAAATTTATATAGGGAAATAATTAATGGTATTTTATGGAGCTCCATTTACAATATGTAAGTCAGACTGTATCATAAAGGCTATCAGTGCTAAGCTGGAACTGATGACAATGGCTGACAAACTGTACGTGAGGACCAGTCCCACATGAGGGTCAGCAAATTTCACGAAGACATGATAATACACCAAACATCTACGCTCCTCATTTCCTACTTTTTTTTGTGATACTACAGTATCAGTTTAGACAAACTTCATATCATGGAGCCACTTAACTTGGTTTCCTTAAACAAATATTATGTATTCACCCAAAGCCTAATATTTTTCCTCTCTTGTTCTGACAGCTAGAGCTGGGTCTTTAACAACTAGAGCCTGTCTCTAATGTATGATGTGGTTTCATTTTAATGTTAATTAAAATGGTGCAAGTGGGTTATTCTGGATGTGGCAGAGCTCACATTATGGAAAAAGAATAACTTTTGTTTTTTATCTAGAGATAGAATTACAGTTCATATGGCTATGCCCGCCAATAATCCTAAAGTTCTCTTAAATCCACAAGAAAGACAATGCTCCTGTAATTTTCTTTTTCTTTTCTTTTTTCTTTTTTTTTTTTTTTGAGATAGAGTCTCGCTCTGTCACTCATGCTGGAGTGCAGTGGTGCAATCTTAACTCACCTGCGGAGGTCTCCTGCATTCAGGTGATTATCCTGCCTCAGCCTCCCCAGTAGCTGGGACTACAGGCATGTGCCGTCATGCCTGGGTAATTTTTGTATTTTTAGTAGAGATGAGGTTTTGCCATGTTGGCTAGGCAAGTCTTGAACTCCTGACCTCAGGATCCACCCATCTTGGCCTCCCAAAATGCTGGGATTACAGGTGTGAGCCACCGTACCCAGTCTGCCATTTTCTATGGATATTACAATGCCCCATAAGAAAATACACTTGAACAAATGACAGATCTGTGTGATTTCGTATTAATATTACACAAATTCATTAGACTAAATTACTAGAAACCTGCCAAGAAAACTTCCAAGACCTCAATTAGACCTTACTCACTAGACTCTATTAATAGCTGACCTAAGAAGTCATAAAGTGAATACAAATCAGAGCACATATTTAACGACTGTCAAATGAGTGAAGAGGAGTAAAGACTTTTTTAAATTAAACTTTTTGAGATAATTATAAATTCATATGCAATTGTAAGAAATAACACAGTGATCCTGTGCACCCTTTACCCAGTTTCCCCAATGGTAACATCTTCCAAAACTATAGTACAACATCACGACCAGGATACTGACATTGATATAGTCAAGATACAGAACACTTCCAACACCACAAACCATCTCTCATATGCTGCCCTTTTATAGCTATTCCTGCTTCCCTCCCATTCCAGTCTCTCCTTAACACCTAGAAACGACTACTTAGTCTTCCATTTCTTTAATTCTGTCATTTCAAGAATGTGTAAATGGAGCCATACAGCACATACAGGAACCTTTTGGGATTGGCCTTTTTCACTCAGTATAACTCTCTGGAGATTCATCCAGGGTAGCTGTGTGTATCCATAGTTTGTCCATTTTTTATTGCTGAACAGTATTCCGCAGCATGCGTGTACCACAATGTAACAGTTCATCTACTGAAGGACATCTGGTGTCTCCAGTTTTTGGCCATTGTTAAAATTTCTACAAACATTTTTTTGTATGTGGCTGTAAATCTTCATTTCTCTAGGATAAATGGTCAGGAGAACAACTAGTGAGTTGTATGAAGGCCTAAAGATTGTGACTAAAAGACTGTTGAGCATGATGGTGTCTATTTTCCCCATTCAAGAAGAATGTAAGGTTATCTTTGGAGTCATGTGTCTCAGTGTCAGGTTATTTATGGAAGAATCTGTAGGACCAAGCATTTGCAAGGTCACAGGTGGATATACTGGCATTTACCAAAGGGAGTGTTTAATAAAAACCATTCTACAAACAGAATTAGAGGCACTAATTACAGTGTCAATAATGAACCAGTAATCTTTCAAGATTCACTGAGGACTGAGTCTGTGCCCCTGTGAATGGATGTGAAACCTAAGTAAACACAATGAAGCCTGCTTGTAGAGGTGGGAAAAGTAGGGTGGAGAGATATGTGATAGTCTGACTCTCCTGAAAGGCACTACTCTTACCAGTGTACCATAGAGAGACAATTTTCTTGTCAGATGCTGTTAAAAGAACTTGATTACTCCACCCGGAACGTATATGGAGCTGGACTGCCTGGGTTCGAACCCCAGCTCAGCTACTTACTAGCTGTATGACTTAGCACTCAAAAATAAGTTATTATCCTTTTCAGGCTAGCACAGCTCTGGGGAGACCGTCCTCAGCAGTACAGAAGAAAGTTTGCGTACAGCACTGAGCCCCTGGTAATAAAGCAGCTTCTGATAATGGGGTGACATCTAGTGGGGAGTAAAGACCTCCAGGAAAGAAAAATAAAATAACTGGTTCCCGGCAGAGGAAAAACCACGTAGTCTAGTGCAAGAACAGCCAATATGGGAATAACCACGCCCCAGAAAGGACACTGGTTGCTGACCAGCGCCCTGGTTCCCAAGGAACAGTGTCCATGAGGAAGAGTGTCCAATGATTGGTTCAGAGGCAGACTAGCTGGCATTGTTAAAAGCAGAACTTTGGGGGTCAGGTTTTGGAGGGCTGGTGCAGCCTGACACTTAAAACTCCTCACTCTGTGCTCTGTGACACAGCCTGAGAGACTCGATGAAGATGGAGTCATTTATCCTTTCTTCACATGGTGCAGTCACTTAGATCTCGGCAACAAGAGCTTCTTATGTCAACCAGCGCGCTTGTCCCAACCCAAACAATAAAAAGATTTTGATGGAAGCTTGTGATTCACTGACTTGATGAAAAGTCATGCCTAATTTTCTTTTATATCTCAAATTCTGGATCCACAATCTTAGGTCAATCTGTAAAACTTTAAGATATAATAGTATTCTTAATGGTTAACGACTAATGGAGAAAATATGTTCGGTTAATGCATACTTATAATAACTAAAAACTGTTCTATATCCAATATCAACAAGAATACATAATAGATAGATTTTTCATTTTGAAAGGCCATTTGGAAAGGCAGGACTAAGTACCACATTCTTGCTTCAAATGGACTGACTACATTACGTCTACACAAGCAATTCTGGTCAGAGATCAAAGCACCAGACATTTCAGCAAAACACAAGGACAAAACGACACAGTTGGAAAGATATTCTATCAGATCTTATTGCCTTTGCCATTTTCTAATGTCAAAGAAAAGTACTAAAACTGAAAAAAATGAATGATCCAGAGTAAATGAAACCCCAAATCTAGATTCTATCACTTGGTTATTCTTATCCTTTTACGAGGATGCAGTTGTTTCAAAATACAATCTCAGAGAACTATAAAACAAAAATTTCCAGTGAAGTCATTAAATCCGTTAAACTGCTAGTACTTTAAAATTACTGTTCTTAAAACCTGAGCTCTGCAAAAATCCAAAGATATTGGGCAAGGAAAAAAGTCATGTTGAAAAGAAATTTAGCTGTAAGCAAGTAAGAATTTTAACAATTTAAAATCCTTCCCAAAACATTAACAATATATTTCTTCAGTCTGCTTATCTTCAGCAGCTATTTCAACAGTAACTATTTCTCTAACAGAGTGATCTTAATTCCTAAGGCCCACAGGCATTGAGTCTAGGGCCATACTGCTTTAAGTGGCAGGGTGACGCTTCATATTTAGTTTATATATTTTCAATGTGCCCTGCAGCTGCTGTAAGTTGTCAAGATAATCAGGAGAAAACAGTTCATGTAAAACTTTGTTGCTTGTCCACAACTGTCCTAAAATTCCTGCCAGAATATGTTTCTAGAAGCCAAGAAATGGGTCTGATTTGTCTATATATACTGGCTGACTGCAATGCCTGGTACATTAATTTTTCTTGAAGTCTAGACATAGGGAAATCCAATAATTCTTTCCTGAATGTACACTCAATTAAGTTCATTGTCACAGGATTTTAAAGTAATATTTTTTTCTTATGACTAGTTCTGCAGTGCATTGTAAAAATTTTTAGGAAATAAATATGAAAAAAGAGAAGAAACTAAAAGCTGC